AAGGGGGGGAAGAGGGGGGGGGGAAGGGGGGGGGGGGGGGGGGGGTGAGAGAAGGAGAAAGAAAGACAGAAATAAAGAGTTTGTGTTTGTTTTGTCCTAGCAAACAAGTCTCTTTACCACAGGGGTGAGTCGGACCTCCAGTGCTTCTTTGAGTTTTTCCTTGCGAACATCTGTGGTGCGAGAGGAAGATTGGCGGGATGTCCTAGCTGGAGAACGGGAACGACTGCGACGAGGGCGTCCCGGTGAGCGAGAGCGGGATCTGGACCGAGAGCGTGAAACGCCCTGCTTAAATATTGTCAGACTCTGCAATGAAGAAAACAACATCCACACCACAACGTCATCTAGCGTTTCCTTATTGTACCATAATATCAGTTAATTAAAAATCTATATAACTGGATTTAAAACCTAGAAATTAAGCTTTAGGATTTGAAAACATTTGAAGATATACTATGACATCACTAATCAATCGAATAAGTAAATTTGTGTCACTGATCATGCAAACTCATTTGTACAGACGGTCAGATGCTCTTGCTTCCAGTGAGGCATAAGATGCTCTTTGAATGCATCTCAAATTCATTCATACCGTGATGTCAGATTCCTTCAGCTCCAGTTCAGTACCATCTTTGTAGATGACAGTGTAGAGCCGAGTCTTGTTGTCATAACTCAGCACCTTGACCTCATAATAAAGGTTACTGCCAGGCCAGCGGCCCATTACAGTATCTCCAATCTGAAACCTTGTAGTCGGCATTGTTTACCTACAAAACAATTAACACAAGATAATTGCCTTTCCTGTTTAACTAACTACTAAACAAACGTAACAGTCTGAAAATTAGGACATACTAGAAACAAAATACATCAACAGCAACTCCGTTAATGATAGTATCCCAGCATGCAGCCTTTAAAGATGAAGTCAAGGGTGTAATCTCTGTGCCAAAAGCATCACCAACTGGTGATGAATATAACCATCATAAACTGACTTTACAACTGGTTCAAGCACTCAGACAGGTTTTACAAAAACCAAAAGTAGGTCTTCCACTACAAAGACAAACTACAAAACTCATAATGGGATCCTGAGACGCTCAAAAAGAGTTTTGGTAGGGCCAGTGTTTATACTTTTTGGGACAATTAACATATGAATAGCTTACAGTTGTCTCTGCATATTACGCTGGGATCGAAGTATTTTTACACACAGTTCACCTTTATAAACATAATGCACATGAGCATTTGCATGTCCCTTCAAAACAAACCAGTAATCTATCTTTACAGACTTAAAGATTGTCTGTGATATTTCAAACAGGTTCAATGGGAAACACCAGAGTAGCTGTCCATGGCCTGATGACAATGAAGTGATGATGTCAGCTGCCGTCTCAGAAGTGCTGATGGGTCTGAATTACGCACCCACCCTGTACTCTCTGCACCAGCACTATTGTTGAGCTCTCAAAGGCCTTTATGAGAGGGATTTTACTATCACACGGGTATCAACAACTTCTGGCCAATGAGATGACTTTTACTATCCATATGCAGATCAAAAATAAAAATAAAAATCACTACAGAAAGTCCAATACAAGTATTTTTGTTTATAAATTCACACTTCTCTACTTAACTGGTTCTCATTTTTGGATCTACACATAATTGGCACCATCTGGTGCATCTTTACAGAATATTGCCCTAAAATACAATTACACTACTATGCGTTTAAATGTAAAAATAATCAATAAAAGAATTAAAATACTTTTTTTTGCATAATTACTTAACTTTCTACAGACATTCATTCTCAAAATAACAAATAAAATAGAGTTTAAGCTGAATAACCCAAAAACAAAGACACTAAATAAATAATAATACATATTTACAAATATAAAATATGCCTGCAACCATTTAGACTGTAAGTTCTTCCATAAATAGAATGCTTAAATAATATAATAATATATAATAAATTGACCACTAATAATAATATATTCAAAATGCAGAATATGTTTTTTAATTGTTAGTCTAACAATTACTGGGTTACAGTGTCTAAATAATAAAAAATGCTTCTGGATATCACTTATTAGACATTCCAACATAAAATCTAAAAATAAATAAATAAAGTTAGTGTCTAAATTTCCATTTTTAACAAACCACCACTTCAAAACTGAAAGCCAGTGACGCTTGATACTGAGAAGAAGAAAAAAAAGATGTTTAAAGAATGCTTACAAAGAAATTTTGTTGTAAAGACCAAACACCACCACCAAAACATATGATTTTGGCACTTAGGCAAGGCCAGAAACAAGCTAAAAGTTCTGCTCACACATCTAGAAGCACTTTATAAGCAGACACTCTCCATTACAGGAAACACCCAAAAAATCATATTGAAACCATATGTAAAGTACTGATCATAATAACATAAGCCATCTACCCTAAAACCATCTAATCCAATGAAACACATTCCTGACATTCCTGAACCAGATCACAGACACACACCCAACACTGAGATGAAGTCCAGCACTGCAGAAATCCCATGCACTTCCAGAGTTGAAGTGAAACTACAGAGCAAACGATTTAAACGGAGTGAATGTGAGTGGGCTCAGCCTGCTGCTTTTGTTATGCAAATGAGGGGGCACACGACGACACGCGCGCTTTACCATCACTACCAACATCGAGTCACAGTAAAACTTAAGACAGAAAATCTGACTTTACTTTTTAAATCAACGGTATTTCCAACAATTACCACATTTATGATTTTTACATGATCAAACCAACGAATATAATACATTAGCTATGGCGGACTGAATATAAATTCTGGATTATTTATTAGAAATATGATCAATTAAATCGTTCTTGTGTCTCATTGTTCTTTCATGCAATGCAAAAGCACCCAGAGCAGACTCACATGCTGCTCCTTTAACACAGCATAAGAACGACAGGAATGGAGGGAAAACGTCATGTATTCAAACCATTGTCAGTCCGCATGCGAGAGGCTCATAAACAGCAGCATTAAATCAGTGTTAATAAACAACGGGCACCCACACCCACACAAAAATCAACGGTTATAATGAGCGAATAGTGTATTAAACACAAACGTACGGCCAAAACACAGAGTCAAATTAAGTTACCATTAAACGTGACTATTTTGCGCAAGAGTGGAAGGAGTCACTTGCACTTTCGTGGACATGCAGAATAATGAAACTGAAAGGTCCGACATAAATGATAATTTTAACTCAGTTACCCAAAAAATAAAAAACGAAAGAAGAAGTCGTGAGGAAAAACAGTCGAGCTGTGTTAGAGGACAATAAATGCGCGCCGTGCCCAAGTTTCCTGTGACACGAGCCGGCTGGAAATCGGGTTATTAAGTTAAATACCACAACAACGACAAACAGTGGTAATATTTACATAAATAAAGAGTTTAAAATAGTATATTACATGCCGATAGAGCTAGTGACCGTTAATAGCAATACATTATGTTTAGTTACTTCATAAAAGCAGAGCTGAGGGCGGACTGAGCGCTGATCTAGTTCTGTACCGTTAGCTACGCAGTCACAACATACACGTTCCCATACAAAAACAAAAAACATGCAAAGTGAATTGGTTAAGATTTTCTTACCTTGAGTCGATCTTAATATCCTAAAAATCTCTAAAGCTTATCCAAGGAACTTCATAAAATAAAGAATATTGTTTTAAAAACACTGGCCCCCCGCTCTGAATTCGTTCCTCCCTCTGTGACCGCTCAACCTACCAGCGTCCTTGAGGGCGGGAAGCTCTCTGATTGGCTGGGACGGCCTGTTTTTAAATTTTTGCATTTTCTGATTGGACGGCGATGGGGTTTACATGAGCGTTGATTGGAGGCGAGGCATTTGAGCTCTCGGGTTTTACTAAATGGAGTCCTGTCCTGGTGAGACAGTTGATGATCAGCGAGATGTGATGATGAGAAGAGAGAGGATGGACAGCCGACATCATACGTTGTGCTTGTAAACGCGAAATGTTTCTTTAAAAAAATGCTAATTATAGTTGGTTAGTAATGGGTCGAGGCATAGAAAGAGTCAACAGAATATTTAATAAACCGGAAGAGACGCTAATAACTTATGATTTGTTTTTTTAGAAGTGCGCATTGGAGGGTAATGTTTTTAAAATACATAAACTAATCACTAAAACTGACTACGGTTCATAAATATACTCTTAACCGCCTATTTCTAACTTGAACTTGAAAGGCATTTCTACATAAAACAGAAGAACGTTTTTATTTTAAAATACTTTATGTAAATGTAGCAAACCGTTCTTTAAAAAAAAATGAGAATTGATGCTACAGGCTATTTAAATGGGAATTTATATCTTATGTATAGACCACATCTACATTTAGTGAACTGTTAGTAATGGGTCGAGGCATAGAAAGAGTCAACAGAATATTTAATAAACCGGAAGAGACGCTAATAACTTATGATTTGTTTTTTTTAGAAGTGCGCATTGGAGGGTAATGTTTTTAAAATACATAAACTAATCACTAAAACTGACTACGGTTCATAAATATACTCTTAACCGCCTATTTCTAACTTGAACTTGAAAGGCATTTCTACATAAAACAGAAGAACGTTTTTATTTTAAAATACTTTATGTAAATGTAGCAAACCGTTCTTTAAAAAAAAATGAGAATTGATGCTACAGGCTATTTAAATGGGAATTTATATCTTATGTATAGACCACATCTACATTTAGTGAACATTTTTATCTTGTGAACTCCATTGTAGGAAAGTACAGTACAATTACCATAAATTGTGTAAATGATTGCGATTAGATTTGTTGTTTAGTAGAAATCCATACATATAAAATATATAAATACAATTTATATAATTACAAGATTTTTTACTATATAAAACAATGCATAATTTACAAAAATGTTCAACATGTGTGGTGTTATTCACCAATCAAACTTGTTCATCACAAACCAGCCTTTCTTTGGGTATGCTGAAGAGTAGGCACACAGCAGATCTAGTCTTACTCAGTTTCCGTTTTTGCAAAGTTGCATTGCTTAATTTGACCTCAGCTGAACAGCAGTAATGCCTTTACATGCTTAATCCTGGAGGTGTCATGAACTGTGCACCTCAATGCTTGAACTGCTCATACTGTAGTAGATTGTTGAAGCGTAGTATAGTGTTCAGTAGCTGTTTGTGTAATGCTCATTTCATTTCAGTGGTGGTTCAGTCCTGCCTTCCTGTAAATTGCCACAGCTGAACCGTGCAGCAGCAGCAAACAAAAGTAGCAGCATTTGCTACCGAGGAGGAATAATGTCATGTTGAACATGGTGTAAATTGGTACATTCCAAAGTCAAGTGGACACATTATACTACATTTGATTCAGGTTTTAGTAGATAATCTAAATGCATTAATATAGTGTTTACAATCACATTGAGGTAATCATATGTGAATTGTCAAGTAATCAGTTTCACATAAGTTACTTCCACATTTAAATTCAGAAATAAATGCAAACAGCAATTTATTGCAATTTTTATTTAATTTGCTCAAACAAAACAATCTTAGTATGTAAGAAACTTCTAATGAAAACAGTATGGTACAACATGAATGATAAAATCGAAAGATAAAGAAACAGAAAATTGCATTACAAGGACATTCAGTTGAATCTAACAAGCACAGTCTGCTCATAATCGAGTCTCCATGTGCTGACAACTCCATCAACCTTTTGCTAATATTGTTCAACTGATTTCCACGAGGACAAAGATCAGTTTCTCAGATCCCACCAGCATACATGGTCTTAACCATAACACAAACCACACTGTAATGCAACAGAAAAATGACACCGAGAAGAATGTGAATGCATGTTTGATTTTAAACAAAGGTCGTAAAAGCATCCTTTGCAACTCACTGAAGAAAAATGCAAAACAAATGAATAAAGTTATGGCAGGCCCTAAATTAATACTTTCTATATATACGCTTGACATATCAAATGCAACTTCCCAACAAGGCACAAACCATGATGATCACAAACCGGTTTATCCAGGAATGAATCAACCCTGATCAAAACATTTCACCTGCTTAACCTAAAGACCAATCAACAAAAATTATTTGTCGTCAAAACGAAGGTGGATCAGGAGATTGTGACGTTCTAGAGAATTACGGTTTAGCTTTGGTGATAGTGCCGATCACAAAGTGACAGCCGTCTTGCCAGCAATAGAATCATTTGAATTTCTACGGGGTTTTAAAGTGCAATCAATGCTGTAAACACTCTATACAAACTTTCTGATTCCTTGAGAGATTATTTCGAGTGATGCTTTTGAAGTGAAAAGAAATGACAAAGGATTGACAAGTGAGCATGGTGGGGGGGATATGGATAACCGAGGAAAAATCAGATTGGAGAGAACGTCACAAATTCAAGTTCTTAGTTATCTCCTCAAAATTCGCACAGCCTATAATCACACCTCATATGGTCTTAAAAAGCATACTTCCCAATAAAGTTCCCTAATAAAACAGTGTTGGAAGATAAAGCCCCTCTGAAAAACACAGCCGAGTGCCTTCCAGTGTGCAGAAAGAGGTTTAATGATAAATGACTGAAAAATAAAAAATCCCAAAACCATTCAAAAAGCTGTGATGTGCTGCTTGGCCCTCATTAGATACTCCAGACTTGTTTTAGTTGGTAAATAGCACATGCAAAATGAGTAAGTAGCCATACATGATCTTTCGCATCCCAAAATAAAGTAAAATGAGTAAGATGTCAAACCCCTGCAAATTTATTATGGCTATAAAGAGGTGTCCGTTGGAGAGATTGAGAGAGAGTCCAAAAATGCAACAATGCTACACTTATTGCTTATGAACTGAAAACTAAAGTATTTTTCGTGGCAACCATTTTTCCCTTACCAATCATAAGACGACATGCACTGAAATCGAAAGAAATACGAAAAAGAGCCTACGGTGAATAAAAAGTTCATAGTATTTCTGGTTAGCACTATCTACAGATACGGTCTGAGCTCCCATTCCTACTCATTTATTTGTAATTAAAAGTTTGCAAAGATTTATTTATTTGTATTAAAATAAATAAATAATTGAAAACATGTACAGTATAAAATAATAATAGTTTTTAAATAATAATAATTATTATTATTATACATTATTATTAGCTACACCTTGTAGGCTACTTTTCCTTCACCATCCATTCCAGCTCTTTTATTTTTACGTTTACTAAAATTTTGTAACAACATTTTTATTTGAATGAATGACTGAATAAATAAATAACATTGCCAACATAATCACCATAGGGCGGAAAATAGTAAATTAGGGTTATTTATTTTATTATATAGGGTCAAGTTATTTTTCAAATATTATTCATTATAAAATAATTAATTAATAAATAATAATAATATTAAATCACTAGTTTAACCATAAGCCTTTAGATTAAAAAAGGGTTTTAAGATCATAAGAAACAAATTCAGTCAAATGTATCCAAACTCTTGACTGTTAGTGTCAAGTATTTTAATATTTCTAATGTATTAAAAAGCTAAATGTGCATCATATATAGTGGTAATACAACGCAATAATATGTTACCATCAATAAGTTCTTCTTTCAGCTTCGATAGTTCCTTCCTCATCTCCTCTAGAATGTCCTAAAAAGCAAAGCAATACATTTGCAATTAGATTAGAATATTATTTATAATACTCAACTAATCAAAAGTAGTCAAGCAACTTATAAGTGCATGTCACTGAACTGTTTTCTTGTCAGTAATATTGCATATTAGATGATAATATATACACTAGAGAAGAGAAATTAGCTACCATGATACTGTGACAAGTAAAAAAAAAATAAAAAATTTAATACAAGCTGTTATATCAAATGCACTTGGCTTTGGCCGTTTAAACGACAAGAGGACTGGATGAGTAGGTGTATGTTATAACATCAATACTCTGGCACTTTAATTAGAGCTGCTATAAGTAATTCTTCACTAAAACATTCTCTGGGCAAAGCTAGAGTGAAGCAGACAGAGCTGAGCGACTAACAGTAACTGTGTCCTCTGATAAGTAAGACTCCCTCATATGCCTTTCATATCTAACATGCTCATTCATACAGAAGGGAGGTATTGCCTTTGTAGAGAGGACTATAATTGTACACACCCACAAAAGCCTAACTGTGCAGTCAACCAGTATTTCTCCCTTGTTTTTTAGGAAGTGCTGTAATACCAAACACGTTTTTTCAAATGAGGAAAAAAAACGAGAAATTGTACCACTAGCTTTAGCAAGACTTTGCTAACATATTGAGGAAGTGTACAGCCCCTCTATCAAACCCTTAAGGGCTAAAAGGTTAAATGAGTTTCAGTTCTTCTCAAATTTTGAGAAGTACCTGTTTCAATCTGTCGTAGTCAAGAGCTTCTGTTGGCACCCCATTGGCACTTATGGATCCGGTAGGAGTTGGTGTAGACCTTGGTCTTACGGAGAAAAGAAATGGTGTGAAGCAAAGCAACTTTAGTCACTGTGCAGTCAAGATGCAAGGCAGAAGTTTAGTGACACACTTTAACAGTCATTTCAAATCAACACGGTTCAATCACAATTGGTGATTCAAAGAATAAACACAGCATTGACATGGGATAAATTCAAGACGTGTGAGGAAAATGCAAGGTATTTCAGATTCCAGGTATTTGAAACCGCTGTACCACCAAGGAAATCCACACACATCCAGATATATATGCATAACTGGGTGACATGAAAATGAGCACCATGGGAATTGTATTTCCTTGTGAGGAGCTGCAAATTCATCAAAACCAACACATTTGTAAAGTCAGCCTTAAATAGAAACCATTTCAAAGCACAGCAAACCAAAAAACAGCTTGAGACACCATCCACACTTCAAAACACACAATGCAGCAGCCGTATCACTCATGCTTGTCTGTAGCCGAATCAGACAGGAAACTATTGCCAACACAATAATCACCATAGGGTGGAACATGGAAAGCGAGGGAAATGATGCTTTATCTATCCCATCGGGAAACAAATGAATGCCGAACAGTGGGTTGCCTTGTGCAGAAAGGAAGTAGAAGTCAAGCGGATAAGAACATTATGACACAGATTACAGAGAGAAACACATTACAAAGCAAAAGTTGTGTGTGAGATATAAGTCTTTGTATCAAAGCTTTCTACATTCAGAGTGAGAGGATAACTTCCTTTCTTGGCAGGATAAACTACATTAAATACACATTTGTAGGGGAGGGGGGAAGTGGGTTATCTTTGGAGCCAGGTGGCAAATTGGCAAGAGTGGACAAAAGCTCCAGTTTTCTGATACTGCATGACCTCTGATGACATCTAGCACTGCGGAATTTATCAGGACGCTCTAATAATCGCTCAATCCTTCATTCCACTTCTCAAAAAGAAGAAAAATTCAAATGTGTTTCTCTGTAACTATGGGCACTTTATGTAATGGGGTGATTGACTGTTATTAAAATAAACAGATTTCATTCTCTTTTTCACATGAAGATCATGTTTAAAATGACTGACATTTTTTTATTTATTATTGCTTTGTTTATTACTTTTCAAATGCCTTATATGTATATATTTTATTGTTTTACTCTCATCGCAGACTTTCACTTTTTAATCATGAAAATCCATCATGTATTATTACACTAAGAACTATGTTAATCTATACAAGTGAAATAATTATAAAACATTTTTATCATTTACATATTTTTAACAATAATATTCAAAAGTTTTTTTTTTTTTTTAAATCCTATGCTCATCAAAGCTGCATTTATTTGATCAAAAATACAGTAAAAATACTTTTTCTTTTTAAATATAATTTAACATGGAATTTATAGCTGAATTTTCGCCAGCAATTACACCAGTCTTCAGTGTCACATAGAACTTCAGAAATCATTCAAACACATTCTTATTATTATCAATGTTGAAAACAATTGTTCTGTTTAATATTTTTGTTGAAACTAACAATGTAAAAGTCTTTACTGTCACTTAATCATTTTAAAGGCATCCTTGCTGAATAAAAATAATACTTTTTTGGGGGAAAAAAGTCCAAATTACACAAATTACCACTGTCCCTCAGATGCGGTGCCATAGAATCAAAGTTTTCAAAGTTGAAGAAACACCCAAACATTAAATATATATTATATGTATTATATTAATCTTTATTATAAAAGCAGCAACAATTTTGAAAAGCATAAAGCATTTTATTCATGCCATTTCATGGTGATTATATTGTTGGCAACAGCGGAATATTTGTGTATTTTAAAAAAGAATAACCGTAGACAATCACTGCAGCAACCCACATCCTATTTAGAGAGCACTCTCAGCAAACAAAGTCTAGAAAGAGTTCTCAAACTAATCTCTTATACCTGTTTAAGGAATCATAGTACTTGTCAGTACCCATCTGATTTCTCCATGGTGCATCCCGTCTGTGAGAGTAAAGAGACTAACCAGGTCAGGTCAACAGCGTGGATCTGAACTATAGTAATCTTCTAAACGCACTGATTCCAACTCCGGTGAAAGGAGAAATATTTATATTTCAGTGTAGCCCTACTGAAAAATGCTTCCACCATTTGTATAACTGTATATGCAAATGCGGCTCTGGTACACACTGATCTGATGAGAAGCAACAGCACTGTGCTTTAGTGATGTCAAGCACGGGACCCGACTGCCTGCATTCTGACATGCGATTGTGAGGGGCCCCCGGCCGCAAGCATGTGATGCAAAGCAGTCGAAGCAACAATAATTCAAATTAGCTTTGAAAAAAACGGGACCTGCTGAAGATTTAGATCCCAAAAGCTGGACATTTTCTTCAAAAGGCATTATGAAGTGGTGGAGGTATAATGCACACACTGATTCATGCAAATTATTACCTTCCAATGACTGGTGATTTGCTACCATTCATGGTGTTTGTCCTCTCCCAAGGCTTTCTGGGCATATCTGTGGAAAAAAAAGCAATGAATGTTACATTTTATTATATTTGCAGTCTTATTTCACATAAAAGCTGTGGTATTGCTTTGAGGCCCAGACTGTACACTGAACAACAAAATGAAATGTTTAAAAAATAAAAATCATAAGTGGAATTTATTTCATAGAAATAAAGATTTCATGAACACCACAGGCTCAACAACATGCTAATTTATTGAGATTACACTGATTGAACAGGAAAAGAGGGGTTGCCAAATGCTGCATTAGTATTAGCCACATAAGTGAACAACAAAAAAAGGTATGGGAAACATTTTCACCTCAGTTTTTAAATGTTACCCCATTCATTTGACTAACCTAATGATACTTATGGAGCATTATTATATGGTTAGCTGCATTTTATAATTTGTTTTTAGCACTCCCCACTTACCTGGTGTGCTACAGGCTGACACTTTTGGAGTTATGGTAGCCTCAATTTCATCCTGATAGAAAAATAAAAAGAATCAATCTGAAAATCAGTCACATAAAGGGTATGATCATATCAATAAGTTACATTAAGAGTAGTCTATGTGTACAGATTTAATCAGAGACTGCATACAGCTGAAAGAAACACTATTAACTCACAGCTTTCTGCTCAGGCTCTGGTGATGATCCCTTCTCAGCAATTCTTCTCCTGTATCAAAACAATGGTACATTCTTAAATTTCATTACATTACTGGATATGATACAACATTCTGATAATCTCAAAAACAGAACTTTTTATTTGTAAGTTAGGGCTAGGCCCTGCTTCTATCACTGCAACCATTCTGGCATTAGAGACACATAAAGCACACAGTTCACCTCCTGGCCAGCAGGGCGCTCATCTCCTCCATCAGACCTCCTCCTCCAGGTAAAAGACCATTTCCACGGGATGCCTCGGGCTTGGCACCACCAGAACTCACCGCTGATCCTGCGGCTGGAGCCAGGGGCTCATCACTCTACAGTAAACACATAGGATTTGGTATTGAACATGTTTAGCATTTTTAATGATGTTTAGAAAAAAAGAAATCATGTTGTTTTAGTGTGCAGTGCAGAGTCAAAAATGAACTCTTCCATTAAGAAGCAATATTTGGAATTTATTTACAGGGACAATTTTTTTTTTACTTTTTGAGGGCAATTTTTATAAACGCCTTATTAAATATATCTTTACTGGCTTACGTTAAATACTTAAATTAAACCAATCATCTCAAGCAATTAGGCAAGGCAAGTTTATTTATATAGCACATTTCATCCACAATGGTAATTCAAAGTGCTTTACATAAAAGGAAGTAAAATAATCAAAATCAATAATCACAATAATAAAACAAGGAATTTAAAAACTTTTAAAATGATTTAAAAATTTATTTAAAATCAGTTCGGACATAGCACAGTGCTCATTCAATAAATGCACAGCTAAACAGATGAGTTTTGAGTCTGGATTTAAATGTGGCTAATTTTTTAGCACATCTGATCTCTTCTGGAAGCTGGTTTCAGCTGCGGGCGGCATAATAGCTAAAAGCGGACTCCCCTTGATTTGAGTGAACCCTTGGTATTTCTAACTGACTCTATACTAATGATCTGAGTGGTCTGTTAGGTTTATATTCAGTGAGCATTTCTGCAATGTATTTAGGTCCTAGGCCATTGAGTGATTTATAAACGAGTAAAAGTACTTTAAAATCAATCCTAAATATAACTGGAAGCCAGTGTAAGGACCCGAGGACTGGTGTAATATACTCAGATTTTCTGGTTCTAGTCAGAATCCTGGCAGCAGCGTTCTGGATGAGCTGCAAATGTCTAATGGTCTTGTGAAGGCCGGTGAGGAGACCATTACAATAGTCCACCCTGCTGGTGATAAAGGCATGAACAAGTTTCTCCAAGTCTAAAACATCTAATTCTTGGCAATGTTTTTGAGATGACAGTATGCTGATTTATTTATTGCTTTGGCATGACTACTGAAACTAAGGTCTGTCTCCAGAATCACACCAAGACTCTTGACTTGATTTTTAGTTGTTTGACCCCTAGATTCAAGGTATGCATTGATTTATTGTGTTTATTGTCTTAAGGTTTCAGTTCATTGTGCTTTATACTTAGATTAGCTGCAGATATAGCCTGGCACGTCTTAATTCTATGAGCGAGAGATCACTTCTCTTTCAGTGCGAAAACTTTTCTCATTTTCATAAAATAAAATGCTTTTGTGTTTAATTTTTCCTCTCCATTGGCGAATGATGATTCTGAAAGAAAACGCACCCGATGTCTGTTTGCTATAGCAACGAACTCTACTTTCATGCATCTGATTATCAGATAAACCTTGCGCTCTTATTTCAAGGTTGTTGTTAAAGCTGTGGTTATTTTAACGGTTTCCTTTGTACATTTGGTTTAACAACATTGTTAAAACACATTTCTCATTCAATGGAACTGTGCATATGCTGGTGATAAAGGCATGAACAAGTTTCTCCAAGTCTAAAACATCTAATTCTTGGCAATGTTTTTGAGATGACAGTATGCTGATTTATTTATTGCTTTGGCATGACTACTGAAACTAAGGTCTGTCTCCAGAATCACACCAAGACTCTTGACTTGATTTTTAGTTGTTTGACCCCTAGATTCAAGGTATGCATTGATTTATTGTGTTTATTGTCTTAAGGTTTCAGTTCATTGTGCTTTATACTTAGATTAGCTGCAGATATAGCCTGGCACGTCTTAATTCTATGAGCGAGAGATCACTTCTCTTTCAGTGCGAAAACTTTTCTCATTTTCATAAAATAAAATGCTTTTGTGTTTAATTTTTCCTCTCCATTGGCGAATGATGATTCTGAAAGAAAACGCACCCGATGTCTGTTTGCTATAGCAACGAACTCTACTTTCATGCATCTGATTATCAGATAAACCTTGCGCTCTTATTTCAAGGTTGTTGTTAAAGCTGTGGTTATTTTAACGGTTTCCTTTGTACATTTGGTTTAACAACATTGTTAAAACACATTTCTCATTCAATGGAACTGTGCATATGCTTTAGACACTTAAATTTTTTCAGGTAATGTCATTGGTATGACTGAGAGCCAGTGAAAAACCACAGAAAAGTAAAACTACTTCACTTTAGCATTAATGGCCACGAGTACTAAGGAGAGATCACACATCAGCTGCTCAAAAAATGTCAGTGAGACAATCCTGTGACAGTCACTGCAGGCGGGAAATAGTGGAGCGCGTGAAGGAGAGATGCGAGGGCACGAACACTGTTCAAGGTCTCCATTAATTCGTGCTTGTAGTAATTTAATTTGTATATATTTTGAAAGCATTGAATCGCTATAGAAATCGTGATTCATTCGATTCTTAGTGTTTTAAAATGATTACTGTCCGAAATCGACGATTCACGATTCAAAAATCCATGTTTCAAGATCGATGCATTGCATCGTCTGGGTTTGTAATCGTTGCATAGAGAAAACGAGTGAATCGTTACACCCATAGGCTGTAGTCATTTGGCGATAAGGCTAGGTAAATCTGGGTATCATCAGCATAGCTGTGATAGGCAATTTGGTTCGTTCTCATTATTTGACTTAGTGGGAGCATATACAGGCTAAACAAGAGCGGTGCAAGAACTGAGCCTTGTGGGACTCCGCATGTCATGGACGTCCAGCATATTGCAATGTGAGCAGATCTAAATTACATGCCATGGTAACACTTTATTTTAAGGTGTCCTTGTTACACGTTACATGCACTTACTATTATAATCACAATAAATTATGCATAATTACATGCAAGTAACCCTAATCCTAAACCTAACCATATAGTAAGTACATACAGTTAATTAATAGGTGACACTTTATTTCGATAGTCCACTTTAGACATTCTATTAACTATAAGTAACTTTGTAACTACATGTCAACTAATTCTCATTAATTTGCAACTACATGTCTACTAACTCTCAGAGTAGACTTAGGGTAGGTTTAGGGTTAGTAGAATAAGTTGACAAAGAAAGTGTAAGAAGATATTAAGCAGACAGTCTACTAATACTCTACTAACTGCTAGTTGACATGTAGCTGCAAATTTACTTACTGTTAATAGAATGTCTAAAGTGGACTATCGAAATAAAGTGTTACCAATTAATATTACTCAGTACGTTAATGTATAATTACACAGTAACAAAGACACCTTGAAATAAATTGTAACCAATGCCATTAATTAGTTTTGACATTTCATATTAATCGTGACAACCATAATAGATTTAGTGTAATTATGCAGGGCCATTTTTGCACCCTTATTTTGAATTTGGAGGGGCATTTTTGCTGTTAATTCCAACCCTTGTTCTGTGTTAAGAAGCTTCAGGAGAAATTAAATGCAAATGAGAGCTTTATGGTCCTTCAACACTTACCCTTGGCACTTTCTTTAGCTTGGCTCCAGCAAGGGCGGCTGCGAGCCCAGACAGGCCCTTGTTCTCCTCTGTGGTGGGCGAGGGGGTGAACAGACCCGAGGGCAAAGGTGGGGCCGGGGGTGGAGGTGGTGCTGGCGGTGGAGCCTGGCCTGAGGGTGGAGGCGGTGGGCCGGGGGGAGGGGGAGGACCTGTTGGGGTAAGCGTGGGGGGCAAAGGTGGTGGGGGAGGAGGAGGGGGACCAGGGGGTGGCGGAGGTCCAGCAGTGTTGGGAGTCACAGTGGAGCCGGGAGGGAGAGGTGGTGGGGGTGGAGGGGTTGGTATCCCCTGTACTGAATCTGCAGTGTTGAATAAAAAAAGATCATGAAAGTTATAACATGTCTTTATCACTTGCTGTGCTGAGCAGTTAAACTGTGATATGTTCTGCATCCAGGACTCTTTTGCATTATGAAATTGATCACCACACTCAAAATGAGCTAAATAGATGTCGATATAATATAATATAATATATACACTAGAGTTCAAAAGTTTGTGGTTTTTATTATAAATGTATTTACTCTCATCTTTGTCCACTTTAATGCATGCTTGCTGAACAAAAAAATTAAATCTAACTGACCCCAAGGTTTTGAAAGGTAGTGTAATATAATATAAATCCATCAATAATATTAATAATAATAATAATAATTAAAATAAATAAATAACAAAAACAACAATGACATACAAAGCTCATTCATAATAGTGAACGAAGACAGATGACATTAAAACATGTGAACATACTGAACACTTGTGAAAAGCTGATGATCATTATACCAACTTCCACAAGAAAGAAACTGATGATTTATCATAATAAGAAACAAATGTGTACATCAATTTAACAAAATGCAGAGATGTAATTGGGGTAATTGTTTAAAACCGTTTAATCATTAAAATGCAACTTAAAGCTGATATTGCATCACTTAACATCATTATGAGGTAAAATTCTTTACAATTTAGAAACGTATCAGCTTGACTATATTTAACATATGGCTTTTTTTTTGGTATAAACAGCTGAAGTTTTTCAAGTCTATATGACATGCATGCCTGTCAAACACACTCAAGTTAATCATATTAGTGTGTAGAATTTAGCTCAACGTCAAGCTGCATCATGCATATGAAGTGTGAAGCCTAAAACCTCTTCTATAAATAATTCAGAGGAAGAGTTGATCTTATTTCTTCATTGCTGTTGACTTGACCTCATATGAAAAGCTCTGCTTACTGTATGCACTATGCAACATAAAACCTAGTCAAAGACAAATGTAATCAAATTCATCTTCATTTAGCTTCTTTTTAAAATAAAGATGTTGTATGAAACAAATGTGTGAATGTGAAGAATAACCAAAAAGGATGTCGGGAGGCCAGTTATAGATCATGTAAAGCTCACTGTTCAATGACAGTTCACTTGTACATGTTAACATCTAGAACTTCTTTACCATAAACAAAGAATCAGAATGAGATGGTTGTAATTAACTGCAAAAATAACACTGATGAGAACTAAAGCGATGATATCGCAGCTTTGCAATCTGAGACTCAAATCAAAGTTTCACGAGAGAGAGCGGAGATGTGTTTTCATGCCATGCCATTTCACACAATTACAGGCCACACAAACGAGCATCCATCAAACCGGTGAACCAGTACAACCCAACAGAGGACAAAACAGAAAAACATTCCTAAGGACTTTCATATTGAGCCAAAAAGCAATCGCCAATTGCAGCCAAAAAAAAAAAAAAACCAACCCAGCTCAACATGGCAGGCCCCCTCCTTGAACCCAGAGTTGCGGGTTAGTGGAGGCTGAGCGACACAGAAGAGGCCTTACCCGGCTGGCTGGGGAAGTCAGCAGGCTGAGTGGGCGGCTCTGGAGCAGAGGAGCAGGAGTCTCCCAACCCAGAGTTTACAAAGTGCTCAGCAGAGGCAGGGAAGGCTGTGGAAGGAGAAGGGAGAACAGCAGGCTGGGGTGAGGGACAAGACACAAGGGGAGTGATGGGCAAGGTGGGCGAGGGGGAATACAGGGGCGGCGGAGGGGGTGGCGTTGGGGGCAAAGAGAACGGCTGACCCGAGACAGGTGACGAGGCGTGGAAGTGAAGGGAGGTGGGCGGCCCGTTGGGCGCCGAGATGGGTGAGTGGGGTTTCTGGGAGAGCGGACTAGGGGCCGGGATCACAATCATCGGGCGAGGACCCGTGGCCTTGCCTGGAGGGCTGCTGATCATGACCGGAGGTGAGGGTGGTAGTGGTGTGAAGTTATTAGCCGTCCAGACTATGGATTTGGAGGCCAGAGCTGGAGGAGGAGCTGGGGCAGGGGGCGGTGGTGTGGGCGGGGCGGGTTGTCTGCGAGGTACGGTGGCGTAATGAGGCAAGACTGGGTGGAAGGCGGAGCCAAGCGACGTGGCGAATCGGGAGGCAGAGTGGCGCAGGGGTGGGGTCGGAGGAGTGGCTGTGGAGGGCGATGGTGTTGGGGGTGGGTAGTTGGGTGTGGAAGGAGACACGGGTGAGGAGGAGGTGGCCTTGTTGTATTCAGGAGGTGGAGGAGTGTAGAGGGTGCTTTCAAATGCTGCACACAACCAGACAGGACGGGACGGGACGGGACGGGACGGGAGGGAGGATTCGGCAACCATGCAAAGGGAAAGAACACAAGACAAAGAGAGAAAGGGGGAAGGAGACAGAAGAGAGAAAGGGGGCAAATGAAGCAAGAAAACCAGCAGAGACCTACAAGTCCATCATATGTACTTATTTCTGTCTATGAACAGGGAACACACTGGAATTAGTTCAATCGGTTAGCTGTTGGCAACATCATGAACCGGAAAAGATGGATCAATTTCAACACATGTGGGCTTACACAAACATCTAGTTTATCATGTAGTACTTTCAGGAGAGAACACCGAAGGGTAACTGTAAATCCTGGATGCACATGTCACGTGAGGTTAGTGTCTTAGCATCATCACACACCTGCTACAGGCTAGTCATCCACTCTCAGCATGCCAAGAAAATGCTCATGAAAACCTGCACTTTGTTGCACTTTCTACAGTATAATATATGAATGGGACATCAAATTTAACCCAGTAATCATACATTTTCGCTGAAACATCATTGGTGAGTCATCAGTTGTCTACAAACTTATATTTTGCACAAAAGTATGTGCAAAACAGTCACAAATACACCACTCAGTCAAAAGTTTGTGGTTGGTAAGATTTTTTAAATGTTTCTGAAACAAGTCTCTTATGCTGCATTTATTTAATAAAAAATACAGTAAAAACAATAATATTCAGAAATATAACATTTTAAAATAACAATTTTCTATTTTAATATATTTTTAAAACAACTTCAAACTTCCAAGCTAGGCTTTGTCAAGCCAACATGAAGTTTGTCCATAAACTTCACTAAATGTAATTTACTCCTGTGCTGACAAACCTGAACAAAGTCCTCCTCTAGCGAATCGATGTGTTTTTGTAAGAAAAATATCCATATTCAAAACGTAATAATCACTTTAATGTAGCTTGCACCAACAGTTGTACACGGAAGCAGCTCGGGGCTGATGACGTATGAGTTCAGTGTTTCGCATGTGCTGGTGAGTCTCGTGAAAACCAACGTTTGTTAACAGGAGCAAAGAAAGCAAAGTTTCCTTACTTTAGCAAAGGAAACCCAGTCACCTCTTGGCTTATATCGAAATCCTCCGACATTCTTCTTTACAAATCCTCGTTTTGTACTTCTAATAAGTGACCGTTGTTTTGTTTTGATCTCTCCGCTGCGCTTCCGCGTTCATCACTTCATAGCGGCGCATGCGCAAAGCCGACCTCATACGTCATCAGCCCGGAGCTGCTTCCAGTGTACAACAGTGAGTGCAAGCTACATTAAAGTGATTATTACGCTTTTGAATATGGATATTTTTCTTACAAAAACACATCGATTCGCTACAGGAGGCCTTTGTTCACCCTCCGGAGCCGTGAGACACTTTTTTTTAAAGAATGGGCGCTTTTTATTTAACCTCTTTTGGACTGATGCATGCAACACCCGCTGAGTGGCATTAAACAGCTTGAAAGATCAAAGACAATTTTTTATATAACTCCGACTGGATTCGTCTGAAAGAAAGTCATATACACCTAGGATGACTTGAGGGTGAGTAATTTATGGGCTAATTTTCATTTTTGGGTGAACTAACCCTTTAAAGGCGTTTATATATGAAATGCATGTAAATTCATGTTTTGGTTCATGGTGAGACTGCACTGTAAGAGTCACTGCCTGCCATATGTTGGCCAAATCTTTCTGCTCTAGTGATTCTCATAAGCAGCCTGCAGACACAGCTGCCCTCCTGCTGCGTGAAGCCCACCACGCCCCCCTGAGCACACTTCAAAATACACGTCAACACACAGGCAAACACAAATTATCATGCCCTACATTCAGGTCATCTCCTTATTAACACTTTCCTATTATTCACGCTGGCTTCATGACTTAAGTACCACTGATTTCTGTTTATTCCTTGTTTTAAATTATAATGTAACCTATCTGTACCTTGCTTTCTTCCATTTCATCTTCCTCCTCTGCCTTTCCACACTATTAGCTTTGACAAGGAGACCACATGCCCCGTGATGTAGCGCAGTATGTTCACCAAAGTGACTTAATGAAATTCTTCCACTCCTAAAGCACAGACGGTCACATGGCAAGACCTATTGGCTGTGCTCCAGAGAGACTAATCCAAATGTATTAAATCAACTTGTGACCAAGATCCTCACATAATGTTTTTAATACTAATGAGTTTATTTATTTAGCATGAACATTATTGAATATACTACTCTGAAGTGGAACAAGTTAATGGTTAGCTGATAGTTTTGGCTATAAATATCCATTTACACCAAAACCAAGTGCCTGTATTTCTACTAGTGCTCCAACTAATGATACAGATTTTGTTATACCTATTTGCCAAAATCTCAGGGTATTTTTGTGATAATTCTTTGCAAAATACAGAATTCTCCAAGACATGACTCAGAAGAGTAACTGAGCCAAGACAAGATCCACTAAAAATACAACTGCTATGCAGACGTCTTTCCAGACAGAGAACTCAATCCGGTGTAAATTCAACACTCAGAATAAAACATTAAGAGCACCAGTCAGTCAATACAGCAGTGAGAAATGCATCAACTGCAGACTAGCTGTACAATGATTTGTCTAAGCAGAATGTACTTTAAAAAATGACTTGTGAATTTGACTCATTTGTTTCTTTTTTCAAATTTTTCTTAGTACTACATCTCCCACAACTCCTAGTAAACCACATTTCCATATATGGTGCACTACAATACCCATATTCCCCTGGTTAAGGTCTATAAATAGACCTTACTTCCCTTACTTTGTCCCTTTTTGCATTGGTGAGGTGTGGGTGTTTGAATGGACACCCAACCAAGTCCTTTGAGTCCTTCCCTTAGTTAGTTCACCCAAAAATGAAAATTCTGTCATTAATTACTCACCCTCGTGTTGTTCGAAACCCGTAAGACCTTCGTTCATCTTCGGAACACAATTTAAGATATTTTTGATGAAATATGAGGGCTCTCTGACCCTCCCATAGACAGCAAGGTAACTACCACGTTCAAGGTCCAGAAAAGTACCAAGATGATCGACAAAGTAGTCAGAGTGACATCAATGGTTCAACTGTAAAGTTACGAAGCTACAAGAATACTTTTTTGCGCAAAGAAAACAAAAATAACGACTTCATTCCACATTTTGAACCACTGATGTCACACGGACTACTTTGTCGATCATCTTGGTACTTTTCTGGACCTTGAACGTGTTCTGAAGATGAACAAATGTCTTACGGGTTTGTTTGTTTTCCAGTGTTTTAATCAGACACACCACCAAGTTTCTACAGTTCTAACGAACTTTGGATATTTTAACATCTCATATTCAACAATGACACTGAAGCATTTATGTCAGAAATTTGTGATCAGGAAACATTATTCTTGCTTTCCTTGAGAGCATTTGGATGCATGTTAAAAAAATTAAAAAAAACTCACAGTTCTAATCTAATATAAGGTGGAAAGACGGTCATGATTTAACAATTCACTGCCAGTGAATAAAGCTTCAGTTTTCTGTAAAATTATGTCTCCTTCCCAAATCTGATTGCCAATATATTAATGTGTAACAGGACCAGTTGTGTTAGTAATTTAGATTCAACATTCCTGAGCAACTGAATGCTGCATTTAAAGGGTTTCTGGCATCCCTGCTGTGGAACAAAGTATTAAATCACTACCAAATAACACAGATTATTTGATACAATGATCACACATGAACTATGCTAAACTGCTCAAATGTTTAACACTTGAAATGACAATTGTGCTTATCAAAGCCTGAGGCCTGATCTCACACATTATCTGTGGAATAAACATCTCCTCCCCCACCTTGAGAAGAAAAATGTCTATTTTTGGTGCATGATTCTGAGCAATGTATGCAATCTGAATTTATGAAAATTGACCTTGTTTATTTTCCTAGTCTTATTGTGAACAAGGTTTTATTCTAAACAAACAAACAAACAAGAACAATCTTGTAACTTTCCTCCAATTTTCTACTAACCTGCATCCAATCTAACCCTGATTGCCAAAAAAAACATGGCCAACATTTTTTTTCTAACTCAGTATTGTGGTTCTCTCAGAAATTTGTCAAATTACAAAAAGTAAAACGGGTTACAGCAACATTTGTGTTGACAGCTGTTAAAGATCCATAGCCTTTTTCGCACGTCACCTAAATTCTTGAGTTTTGGCAGGTTACCCATAATCCTAGTGGGCTGTACACAGGATAGCATGAGGGAAACGTGGTTAGTGTGTGCAGCTCTCCCTGAGTTTCGTCATTTCAAGCTGTTGATTCAGACTCTTCCAACATACTGACAGATGGACACGTCAGGAGAAGATCGCCTATTGATATATTAAGACGCGAGGAGGTGCTGACCCTTCCTCCATATAAACAATAGCTTTACACAGATCTAGAAGCCAAATACATACTAAAAATATATTTTACAGCAAGAACAACGAAAGGAAATGCACAAAACCAGAGATGCACAAAAGCGGATATCAGTGGATTTTATTAATTAAAATTTTTTATATAATTTTTATTTGTGATGTCCAATATAAGTGACTTTTGGTCACTTGTTTCCGCCAATTTTTAGATGTTAAATTATGTCTCAATTCATTGTTTTAAAGGGACAACTCTAGATTACAAAATATTTAACCCTTTAAAAGCTGTTTCTTGAATACTGCTTTCTTATAATAGAGATCCTGCTTTTTATTCAAACAAACTTTTTTCCTTATCAGATCTCCAAATGAATAGCTATCCAGATTTCTTTTTGTAGATTATATTGCTGTGGTGCCTACATTCGCTTAAGAATCACAACACTGATTTAACATTAACAAGAACAGCACTGCCTTTTTGATTTATTTTTTGACAAAATAGTACAGATTTTTAATCTTTCGTTTGTCGGCCATGGCATGGAAATCAGCAATGATTGTAATATTGGTGCATCCCCGGTTCGAACGTGTTAAGGAAAAAATTGTTTTAAATGAAATTCGAAGAGCATAATAACAGCAACACTGTTAGAAATTACTTCTAACAGATAATAACAGCATTTCACAGGCATTTGCATGCTAAGCATAGTGTACAATTGAAGAAAAGCCACTTGTATTGTTAGTTTGTGTTAAAATCTCATTCATTTTTTGACTCCAGCCCGACTTGTCTACATCGTATCTGTCAGTCCTATCTATGAAAAGACGTTGGAGAAAATGAAGATGCTCACCGGCGTTGGAGATGCGTCTCCCTCTCTCCCAGTCCATCTGCTCTCTGTCCAGCTGCTCTTGGTGCTCCCTTTCTTGCTTCTCTCTCTCGGCACGCTCTCTCTCCATCAGCTCCTGCTCGGCGCACTCCCGTTCCTGGCGTTCTCGCTCCAGCTGCTCCTGCTCTTGACGCTCACGCTCCAGACGTTCCTGCTCGGCACGTTCCCTCTCCAGTCGCTCTCGCTCCTGACGCTCCCACTCCTGACGTTCCCTTTCGGCACGTTCCTGTTCCAGCATCTCTCGTTCCTGGCGTTCTCGTTCTAGCCGCTCTCGCTCCAGTCGTTCCCTGTCTTGCTCCTTCTGACGCTGGAGCTCTTGCATCTGCCTGAGGACACATGAGAGCAGAAGGGAATGCCCGAGTGCACAGTGGACCTACAACTTTTTATTTACCAGGTTAGATCAAAAACAAGTTTGCCACACCACCCCAGTATCATAATCTGATTTGATTTCAGTAGATTTGGTACAATGAGCTTTGCGTATGAACTTTCCATTCATCTAAGAATCCTGAATCAAATGTATCACTGTTTAAAAAAAAAAGCAGCATAACTGTTTTTAAAATTGATGATAAGAAATATTTCTTTAGAACCAAATCAGCATATTAGAACGATTCCTGAAGGATAATGTGACACTGAAGACTCAACTGTCTCCACAGGAATAAATTACATTTTAAGATAGATTAAAAAAGTTTGTTTAAATTGTAATATATCACAATATTACTGTTTTTACTGTATCTTTGATTAAATCAATGCAGTCCTAGTGAGCACAAGAAGCTTTCACATTTAAAAATCTTACCGTCCAACTTTTTAATGGCAATGTATATTATTCATTGAATCTCACTTTAATATTGTATTTTAAAATAAATAAATAATTATAATTATATATATATATATATATATATATATACACACACACACACACACATATATATATACACAAATATATATACATATACACACATATACACACACTACTTATACTACACTTTGTTTACTAGAACCTATAGTGGACCTCTACTAGAAAAAAAAAAGACAAAAATTACATATACAGCGGGTAAAATAAGTATTGAACACGTCACAATTTTTGTGGCATGAAATATGTCACACCAGATGTTTGTAACAATCCAAGTAATTCATGCATACACAGAAAACAAAACAAATATGTTCAAAAATTAAGTTCTGCAATACAAGTTCTGCCCCTTGTCAGTGGAAATTAATATTAGCTGGTTCAGTCCCAACTGATGGCCTATAAAAAGGTGTCTCATGACCAACGTGTCACACAAGAAACATTTCATGATGGTAAAAGTAAAGAGCTTTCTCAAGACCTTCGCAATCTTATTGTTGCAAAACATACTGATGGCATTGGTTACAGAAGGATTTCTATACTTCTGAATGTTCCAGTGAGCACTGTTGGGGCCATAATCCGGAAGTGGAAAGAACATCATTTCACCATAAACCGGCCGCCATGACCACGTGCTCCTCGCAAGATTTCTGAAAAGAATTATCAGAAGAGCTGTCCAAGAGTCAATGATCACTTGTGGAGAGCTTCAGAAAGAAAATAATAAGTACAATAAGTAATGCACTCAACCGCCGTGGCCTGTATGCACGCTCACCACGCAAGGCTCTATTGCTTGAAGCTGGTTTAAAGTTTGCTGCACAACATTAAGACAAGCCTGTGAAATACTGGGAGAATATAGTCTGGTCAGATGAGACAAAAATTTTACTCTTTGGATGCCATAATTCACACCATGTTTGGAGGTCAAATGGCACTGCATCACCCCAAAACATCATGATGTAGCACTGGCAAAATTCATAGAATTGAAGGAAGGATGAATGGAAAAATGTACCGAGACAAAATCTGCTGTCATCTACCAGGATGATGAAGATGAAATGAGGCTGGACATTCCAGCGAGACAATGATCCCAAACACAGCCAAGGAAACTCTCATTTGGTTTCAGAGAAAGAAAGTAAAGCTGCTATACTCTTAAAAATAAAGGTGCTTCACGATGCCATAGAAGAACCTTTTTGTCTAAATGGTTCCATAAAGAACCTTTAACATCTGAAGAACCTTTCTGTTTCACAAAAGGTTCTTTGTGGTGAAAGAAGGTTCTTCAGATTACAAAAAGGTATGAAAGAGATGGTTCTTTAAAGAACCTTTGACTGAATGGTTCTTTGTGGAACCAAAAATGGTCCTTCTATGGCATCACTTGAAGAACCTTTTGAAGCACCTTTATTTTTAAGAGTGTAGAATGGCCCAGCCAATCACCTGACTTGAATCCAATAGAAAATCTATGGAAAAAACTAAAGATTAGAGTTCATAGAAGAGGCCCATGGAACCTTCAAGACTTGAAGACTGTTTGTGTGGAAGAATGGGCCAAAATCACACCGGAGCAATGCATGCGACTAGTTTCTCCATACAGGAGGCGTCTTGAAGCTGTCATTACCTACAAAGGCTTTTGTACGAAGTATTAAATACATTTCAATAAGTGTATTCAATACTTTTTCCCTGGGTCATTCGGTTTTATTACACAGAACTTAATTTCTGAATTTATTTGTTTTGTATGCATGGATTACTTGGGTTGATACCGACATCTGCTGAAAATTTCATGTCAACAGCACCTTTAGAAATATATTTACAGCGAAAAATGGTGATGTGTTCAATACTTATTTTACCCGCTGTATGTATGCATGTATATATATACACACACATATATATATATATGTATATTGTGATTTGAGCTAAATTGAAAATATATTTATGCTACCACAGTTGTCGGTTTTAGTTGTCTCTGCCCATTAAAACAAACAGGCTGTTGGTGGAATTAACAAGATTGCCTTAAAAGGCCTTTGGGACATATTCAGTAAGAAAAGCTTTTATAGATGACAAATAAAAATGACTTGCTTTCTTCCAGATACGGAGACAGATGATTGCTAAAATACATGTAGTGCAGTACATCATATCATACACTAGAGGGCAGCACACTCAAATGGGTAACAAGAGGTGTGAGAAGTGCCAACTTCAGCATCCAGACCAGCTCGCCTGCAGATGTTCTGTTAAGTAAGGGTTTATGAAAGATTTGCTTGTCAGTCCTCTTGTGCTTAATCAGCATCCAGCACATCCTCATGCCTAGAATTCCAGTGTGTAATTACATTAGAGAGCCAGAGACATTTAGACTGTGGACAGCGGGGACAGTAAACGAAGAAAAATGGGCTGTTAGCAGCTCTGGCGCTGAAGCAGGACAGATGGACCTAACTCGAAGAAGAGGGGCTGAACAAATTGGAGAGCATTCATGAATGAAAGTAAATTAAATGCAAAGAGCCTAACAATATGAAGAGTCATCATGTAAGGTTCATCTTCCATGATCCCAAACACAGCCAAGGAAACTCTCATTTGGTTTCAGAGAAAGAAAGTAAAGCTGCTATACTCTTAAAAATAAAGGTGCTTCACGATGCCATAGAAGAACCTTTTTGTCTAAATGGTTCCATAAAGAACCTTTAACATCTGAAGAACCTTTCTGTTTCACAAAAGGTTCTTTGTGGTGAAAGAAGGTTCTTCAGATTACAAAAAGGTATGAAAGAGATGGTTCATTAAAGAACCTTTGACTGAATGGTTCTTTGTGGAACCAAAAATGGTCCTTCTATGGCATCACTTGAAGAACCTTTTGAAGCACCTTTATTTTTAAGAGTGTAGAATGGCCCAGCCAATCACCTGACTTGAATCCAATAGAAAATCTATGGAAAAAACTAAAGATTAGAGTTCATAGAAGAGGCCCATGGAACCTTCAAGACTTGAAGACTGTTTGTGTGGAAGAATGGGCCAAAATCACACCGGAGCAATGCATGCGACTAGTTTCTCCATACAGGAGGCGTCTTGAAGCTGTCATTACCTACAAAGGCTTTTGTACGAAGTATTAAATACATTTCAATAAGTGTATTCAATACTTTTTCCCTGGGTCATTCGGTTTTATTACACAGAACTTAATTTCTGAATTTATTTGTTTTGTATGCATGGATTACTTGGGTTGATACCGACATCTGCTGAAAATTTCATGTCAACAGCACCTTTAGAAATATATTTACAGCGAAAAATGGTGATGTGTTCAATACTTATTTTACCCGCTGTATGTATGCATGTATATATATACACACACATATATATATATATGTATATTGTGATTTGAGCTAAATTGAAAATATATTTATGCTACCACAGTTGTCGGTTTTAGTTGTCTCTGCCCATTAAAACAAACAGGCTGTTGGTGGAATTAACAAGATTGCCTTAAAAGGCCTTTGGGACATATTCAGTAAGAAAAGCTTTTATAGATGACAAATAAAAATGACTTGCTTTCTTCCAGATACGGAGACAGATGATTGCTAAAATACATGTAGTGCAGTACATCATATCATACACTAGAGGGCAGCACACTCAAATGGGTAACAAGAGGTGTGAGAAGTGCCAACTTCAGCATCCAGACCAGCTCGCCTGCAGATGTTCTGTTAAGTAAGGGTTTATGAAAGATTTGCTTGTCAGTCCTCTTGTGCTTAATCAGCATCCAGCACATCCTCATGCCTAGAATTCCAGTGTGTAATTACATTAGAGAGCCAGAGACATTTAGACTGTGGACAGCGGGGACAGTAAACGAAGAAAAATGGGCTGTTAGCAGCTCTGGCGCTGAAGCAGGACAGATGGACCTAACTCGAAGAAGAGGGGCTGAACAAATTGGAGAGCATTCATGAATGAAAGTAAATTAAATGCAAAGAGCCTAACAATATGAAGAGTCATCATGTAAGGTTCATCTTCCAGGCTGTCCTTAACATGTTGTCTTCTCATAACATTTGACTTCAAAGAAACATAAAAAAAGGTCATTACTCACAATCATGTTGTTCCAAACATGCTATAATAACAAATAAAAATTAATCAAAATAAATAAATTAGTGCTGTCAAACGATTAATCGCATCCAAAATAAAAATAAAAGTTTTTGTTTATGTAATATAATTGTGTGTACTGTATATATTTATTAGGTATATATAAATACACACACGTACACAGTATTATTTTGAAAATATTTAAATGTACATATTTATATTAATATAATTTATATATTTAATATACAAATATAATATTTTTCTTAAATATATACATGTATGTGTGTGTGTGTGTGTGTGTGTGTGTGTGTGTATTTATATATACATAATAAAAATACAAAGTACACATATATATTGTGAAATCAAAAACTTTTATTTTGGATGCGATTAATCGCGATTAATAGTTTGACAGCACTAAAATAAATATATATGTTTTTATATAAATAAATAAATATATAAATT